CAAGAAGGAGGAGACGTCACGCTGACCGTACGTGTGTTGAACGCGGAGGTGCCGTCTGTTCGGCGCTAGGATCTCCGGTGATTTGGATCACGTCGAGTACGGCTTCCTCATCCCCGTTCTTTGAACGCTTCCGCGCGTGATCTACAAAGGTATGTAGATGCAATCCGATCACTCGTTGCTAGATGAACTCCTAGATGGATCTTGGTGAAACCGTAGGAAAATTTTTGTTTTTCTGCAACGTTCCCCAACAGAGGGATCCCCTTTCGATAGTTCCAGACACCTCATCAAGAGGAGAAGCGGGTTAGCCTTGCCCTTCCTCATCCTTTCACCAAACAGCTCAAGGAGCCTCTTGTAGCTACTTGTCAATCTAGTGACCATGCGGAGACCCCGCAGAGCAGTAGTAGGGATGTTATCTCCACGGAGAGCCCTGAAGCTGGGTAAGATCCGTCGGCGTGCATGTCTTCGCCTTATCCCGTTTCCAGGCATCGGCGGTGTTTTATTGGCTCCCACAATGATAAGCCACCCGTTGGCATATGTCGCACCAACCACCCGACACCCCGCCGCCACCCAATTCCTCGCCGCGCCACCGCCCCGAGCTCCTCCTCATCATAGGAGATGTGGCTGCCACCGCAACCTCCGCACCGGAATCTCCCACGCTCCTCCTCGCCGTACTGCGGCGTGAGGTAATGACCGTGGATCTGCATCCTGGCCTCCCCACCGTCGGATCTTCATGTTTCATTTGCTTTTGAAAATTTACTATTAGGTATCCAATTTTGAATCTACTATAAAAGCTAACAACATTTTAGTTACCTAAAGAGAAAAGTATACTTTCCGTCCCTCAACTCTCGGTGAAGTTTAGATTGTTCTCTCAATTTCGAAACCGGACAACTTGCACCCCCAATTAATGAAACCGGACAAGGTTCGTCCCTGGCCCCGGTTTTGACCAGTGCTAACTCAAATTCGCGTAATTTTTACAAATCTTTGAAGTTTTTGAAATTCACATACTCTTCTCAAATCCACATAGGTTTTTCAAGATCGCGCAAGTTTTTCAAAAATACACATACCTTTTTCAAATCCGTGAACTATTTTGAAATTTGTGTACTTTTTCAAATTCGTGATTTTTTTAATTTGCATACTTTTTTCAAATTAGTGTATTTTTTCAAGTTCGTGTAATTTTATCAAATCCAAGTATTTTTTTTCAAATCCATGGTGTTTTTGAAATCCACGTACTTGTTTCAAATCTGCATACTTTTTAAAGTTTATGTATTTTTTCAAATCCATGTTCCTTTTCCAACCCGTGAACTTTGTTTGAAATTCACATACTTGTATCAAGTTGACATTATTTTTCAAATCCACACATTTATTCTAATTTACGTAAAAGAAATTCAAATCTGTGTACTTTTTCAAGTTCGCATAAACTTTTCAAATTCATTAGCTCTTTCCAAAAAAATGTACGCGAATATGAATAAGTATGTCAATTTAAAAAATTACATGAGTACGCGGATTTGAAAAAAGTACGTGAACTTGGAAAAAGTAGGCGGATTTGAAAAAAGTACACAAAAAGACAGGGCGCCTCGCGCTTCGACTGCTTTATGGCAATACGCGGATTTGGAAAAAGTACAGTGCCAGCAACTTTGAGTAACTTGCAATCTTGCATAACTTAATTAGTTCTCCACATATAGATATAGATAGATATATACTAGACATGAGGATTCTTTGCATAGCTGCTTCATCCAGCCACCACTTCTGTTCTGATGGGATCGGTCTGCCTGCGGGCAGAGACTGGGAAGGCGGGGATCCAGATCCTCTAACATCAGTAAGGCGTGTAGTCAACGTACGGCTTGGGGAACTCGACGTAGCCCTTGGTGAGCAAGTCGACGCGCATCTTGGCTAGTACTCCCTTCGTTTCTAAATATTTGTCTTTCTAGAGATTTCAACAAGTGACTACATACGAAGCAAAATAAACGAATCTACACTCTAAAATATGTCTACATACATTCATATGTTGTGTCCATTTGAAATGCCTAGAAAGACAAGTATTTTGAAACGGAGGTAGTAGATGGAATCGCGAGTGGTTGGGCTCGCCCCTCTTCTCCGGCCGCATCTCCTCGTCCAGCATCCGCCTCCGCTCCTCGAGCCACCCCGGCGGGAACTCCCCGTTGGGCGGGAGGTCCTCGGCGGTGTGGATCTCCAGCCAGCTGCCCAGGTTGAAGGCCGAGCTGATGCGTTTGTCGTCGTAGCGAACCATGCCTTGGCCGGTCGGGGTCGCGGTGGAGGGGTTCGACTCCCTGACGATCCTGTCGGCCGCGTCGCCCAGCTGCCGCCGCCTCGGGGAAGGTTAGCAGATGCGCCATGATCGTCTCCCGCAGCGTCGCGACGTCAGCCGGCGCCGCCTCGCCGGAGCCGGCCGCTTTCCTTTTGGTGCCACAGCTCATGGTGCCGGCCATCAGTTGATGGGTTTTGGAGGTTTGCTTAAGGATTGGGATCGGTGCGGCGGCGGCGGTGACGTCCCGGTCTATATGTAAAGATCGAGTCGGTTTTTTTAGGCAAAGAGATCGAGTCGGTGGTGTCTTTTTTTCTAGTGGGCTGGTCTAGTCCGGTACGCCATAGAGACAGCTGGGCCAGGCCCGGTCTTTTCAAGATAATAAATTCCAATTTTTGCAAGGAATTTATAGTCCATCGAACCATTATATCTCTTGGCCTATACACAAGGCTCCATCGGCCCGTTCTAATTGCCTCCCTTTCCTTGTGTCAAAAAAAAAACGCCTCCTCTTCCGTTCAAAAAAAAAAACTGCCTCCATTTTTTTTCTCGCTAGCTCCGCCTCTCCAACTACAAGAGGTAAGATCATCTACAGCCGCGGACAGCAAATCCAGCCTCTTAAACACCCACGGGCACGGGACTGACTGGTCACGTCTCAAATTTTCCTCTTCACATCTGCGTACCTCACATTCGGCACCCTATGCAACGTGAGCTACTCTACGTGACCAAAACAACGCACAACGGAGGACAAGTTCTTAACTTCAACAACTAAAAAACGATAATAACATAGGAGGAGCTTCTTCACCACTTCCTCGCCGGGTCTTTCCCCTTCCGGTCGTCGGCATAGCTGTAGGCGTCTGCGGCTGGTGGAGAATCTTGTCCGTCTATGAGGAGGAGGTGGAGTTGTGGTTGTCGCCGTCGTCGGAGTCGGAGAGGACGATCAAGCCCTTCATCTGGCGGACGGCCCAGTCTTGCTGCCGCTTCAACTTGGCGAGCTGAGCTGCCTCCGCCGCTGCCTCCTTCGCCTCGCGCTCAGACTGCTTTATGACAATCCGCAACACCTTCGCTCTTCCGTCGGAGGCAGCGAGCGTTTGTCTCTGCCGTCGTGAGCGACCGGTGGTAGACCCAAGCGACGATTCACTCGTCCTCGTCGGGCTCCGCCAGCATCCCACGGTGGGGGCGCACGGACTGCTCCTTAGTGTCCCTCTTCCTTGCCCGCTGTCTTTCATGGCGGGCAGCGCGTGCCTACGATTTTGGAGTGCGTGTGCGGGCCGACGGCGCGGGCACTAGCACCCACCGCTGCCCACGCGGAGCAGCGGCCGACAGAGGAAGGGGCGGCATGGGGGCAGAGTGGACTGCGCTGCCCTGACGGAGCTGTGCGCGGGCCGGAGGGGCAGCTCTAGCGTCTGCGTTGCGTCGGGGCGAGAGCTGCAGATCCAGAGCTGCCCCCAGTGTTCACCTTGGACCGCTCCAAGGCAATGTGAAGTGCCAGCTCCTCGTCGACGTCGAGGTTAGAGCCGGAATGGCTGCCGGAGCACGACTTTGTGTCATATTGGATCGGACTCGAAGAGGGGAGAGTAGAGGATGTAGCAAGAGGAGAGTGGGTGAGCTAGGGTTTCGAGTGAGGAGCCGGATTGGGTTTTTTTATGAGATAACCATGGGGTCGGTGGTGGGCCTAGCCTGTCAGCTCCGACCTGGCGGACACGCTCGGGGCCGCCCCGTATCCACTCTACATTTGGGATGGATATGAGGGGCGTCAGACAGCCCTGACATTTGAGGCGTCCAGATTGATTGATTCTTTGCGACTGGGGTGATCCGCCCGCCCGGACATTTGAGACGGGTTTGAAGCATGCTCTATAAGGTTGGTCATAGTGATAGTGGAAAGTAACTTATACTAGTGTCATGCATATGATACTAGTCTAAATTATTACATTCATAATGCAAAGTAACATAGTAGTAGTGTCAGAGGACTTAATTTATTAGCTTGAAGACTCATCTTGTCTTACTATATTTTTGTTGTCACGAGAAGCGCTATGTTACATTAACATATTATGTTACCACATCTCATTAATTAAATGCCACGTAAGCAATTTTTTTCTTAAAATGTGCTATGTTACTACTTCCTCCGTCTCATAATATAAGACGTTTTTTGAAGTAGTGTCAAAAAACATCTTATATTATGAGAGTAGTGTCAAAAAAAATGTTATATTATATTATGGGAGAGAAGGAGTAGCTAAGTTACTCCCGACTAGCCTAATCTTGAATTTGTATGTCTCCAGTCTCCACGGGCAGGCTTGACGACAAACCGCTCACAATGGGCTCGTACTTCCTATGCCGCTGCTTTTGCTAACAACCCCATGGAAACATGCCAGCTGTTCCTTTGGCTCGCGCAAGTTCCGTTCTGCTCCTGCGCAACTTCAGACTTGAGAGACAACCTGTCACATGTGTCTTCCCCGCTGCCACCATCTTCTTCCTCTATGGGAAAAAAATTGCAATGTGCCCGGACCACCCTGAAGAAATTTATACTATTTGGGGGCAAACAATCGATCCAACAAGGTTCGATTGATCTACCGTCATCATTGCAATCTTATGGAACCTATGGAAATGACGAATTCCAACGGTCTTCCGCCATGAACTCGAACGGCTTCACCAAACCAGAGCCAAAGCTGCAGGCAAATTCAAAGAAGGGGAGCTGCATGCCCACCGGTGGAAGTGGAACCGGAACCCGGCCGGCGACGGATCACGACGTCGTCTCCTTGGGAGGCGCTGCGCCGTTGCACGTCGTTGCACCGCTGCGAATCGCATGGCGCAGCCTCTGCAACGCAGCGTGGGACGAGCCGCCCTCCTCCACGGCCCGCCTGCACGCGGCCTTCATCTTCATGGCCTTCTCCCTCGCCATGGCACCCTCCTCCCCCGACCCGCCGCCCATCACGCATCTCACGGCCCGCTCAAGCTCCGCCGCCTCCACGAAGTTGTCCCGCTCCCTGTCCACCTCCATCGCCACGGCCACGCCCACGACGGACGCGAGCTCGAACGAGTTCAGGTGCTGCTCCGCGTACAGCGGCCACGGCACCAGCGGCACGCCGTGCCACATGCTCTCCAGCGTCGAGTTCCACCCGCAGTGCGTCACGAAGCAGCCCACGGCGGCGTGCGCCAGTATCTCCTTCTGCGGGGCGCGCCTCGGCCACACCAGGCCCCGACCCTCCGTCCGCTCCAGGAACCCCTCCGGGAGGAGCTCGTCCAGGTTCGCGTCCGTCGGGTGCCGCGAGCCGGCCGCCGGAGGGCCGCGCAGCGTCCACAGGAAGCGGTGCCCGCTGCGCTCCAGCCCCGCGGCCACCTCGTGCGCCTTGGCTCTATCGAACCATCCCAGGCTCCCGAAGCAAAGGAACACCACCGACGCCCGGGGCTGCGCGTCGAGCCACCGGACGCACGGCTCGTTCGACGCTTCGACGGCGTGGTCGATCACCGGACCGATCGGGTACAGCGGCGGCACGCGTCGTCCGGGCACGCACCGGCCTGCGGCTATCGCGGCGAGGAGTCCTGCCTCGAGCGCGTCCACCGTGTTAATGACGATGCCGTCGGCGTCCATGAAGCGACGGCCGTGGTACACGAACCACGCGTAGTTAGGGCTCTTCTTATCGCCCAGGAACCCAGGAACAGACCCCGCGGGAACCGGCGGCATGCCGGGGACGTCCACGGTGCCGTCGTCGGACGCGTCGGAGTCGACGGCCAGCGCCGGTAGGCGCAGAGTGAGCGCGAGCAGCGCGGCCGTGGACGTGAAGTAGACGTACGTGGGCACGGCGAGCTCGTGCGCCACGTCGATGACGGCGGTGGCGAAGAAGTCTATGACGAGCGCCGCGGCGCCGAGGTCCGACACGGCGGCCTTGACGTGGGGCGCGTGCAGCTGCATGTAGCGGGACTTGAACTCCTGCAGGTTGCCGGCGCAGTCCGTGGGCGGGTCGACGGCGGGGAGGTGGTGGAACCGGATGCCGAGCCCACAGGCAGATGCCGCGACGCGCTTGACGTGCGAGTCGACCTGGGAGGCCGACTCGGGCGTGGCTGGCCGGATGATCAGCACAGTGACGGTGAGCCCGTCTCCGCCGTGGGCGAGCAGCCGCTTGCCGGCCTCGATGAGCGACATGAGGTGGCCCGAGCCGGGCTCCGGGAGGAGGAGGACGTTGGCGCTCGCCATTGCAGCACTTTTATCGGGCAACACGTAAGAAGTGGTCGAAGCCTGCCGTCGTCGTAGTTCTTGCCGGCCGAGGTAGAAGGGCCTGTCCACGCGCAATATATAGGGAGAAGGGGAACGTTTCTTTTTATGCAACTAGCAATAGGAACGTTTCTTGTGGAAAATACACAGTAGCTCGTGGGTGCTCCACACCCTTAAACGAATATTGAACATAAAAATATATCAAAAAATTCAAAAAAAAATCTGAAATCTGGGGATTTCGAATATGGGTTCTTGATCTACTCCCAAGTGAAATTTCATGAAAGAAATACCAGATAGCGTATCCGTGGCGAAGAAAATACTGTCCGAATAAAAATCCACCTAACAGTTTTTTCTATACATAGAATATTTTTGTCTTTTTGCCACGTATTCTTTTTTTGATATTTTTTTTATGAAATTTCACACAGAAGTAGATCGGGTACCAAGGTTTGATATTTCAAAATATCATATTCTTTTTCAAATTTATGGGTATTTTTTGAATTTAATGTTCGTATAGGGGTGTGCAGCACCCGCTACAAATCCGTTTTTTTTTTAACATCAGTACAGACGTAAGCGTTCATACATACACACATACACTCACTTCCTTTTCTTCTTTTGGACCAGTACTTGTGAACGTTGTGAGCTGTGGGATCTCAACTGTGGTGGAATCAATCGAAACCAGGAGTGTGAACACCGACGACGACACAGTGCAGTGCACACGTTCTTCACAAGTGATTGGATGCTAGCCACGTCCTAGCACGTACGGCGATCGCCTTGGAGCCACCACCACCTCTGGCAGTGGCACGGTGGTACCGGAAATGTTCCCCACGACGGGCAGGTCCGGCCGGCCGTCGGGACGTCTCCGTCTGTGGACCGTCCCTGTGCTACTAGACAGAAATTGTTCGTGAACAGTTTTTTTTGTTGATTCGTGAACGTCATCATGGTCTGCGTGGACTGACGTCGGCAGCGGCTGGCCGTTCCACCGTCCTCTGGTTGGGCCGTTGGCTCATCGGCGAGCCTCTTGCCAGCAATATCTTCCCGATAATTGATTCCAACAACCTGCAAGTGCACGATGGGCAGGTCAGCCGGTTTGGCTGCCACGCCATGTCACGAAACAACGCTGACTCGCCGCCATGCTGATATGACATGCTAGTAATGAAAGAACATATCATGCTGGTGAGGGAGAGAACCCATTTGACGGTATTGCGTCTCAGTACACTTCTTTTCGATTACGTCGGCAAAGATACTTATCAACAATACCTACAACAACTATGGAGACCAATGTGTACAATAGAGAATCACTTTAGCTATATGCCAGTTGCCTGAGTTTTAAATTTAGGTCAGTCGATTTTGTGGCCGTTGGATCTTGCTTTGCGATTCGTGCATTTTATTTTATTTTCTCTGGGTGTGACTCTGGGTCTGTTGAGCTCGATCTGATTGACTGACCCCAATTCTGGGTCAGTGTGACGACCAATCAGCCGGAATCGACCGCACCGAGGAGAATTTGGGGGGCGAGGAGAGGAAGATGACGAGGGAGGTAGGAGAAGGGCGGTGAGATTTATATTGTGAGTGTTTCTCTCATTGCATTGTCTCACGCAGATGAGGCATTTAATACATACACGCACGCACTCTATACACGCGTACGTTGGGCTCAGCCCATACTGACACCGAGCCCTTTCTCCCTCATAGTCCACTGGTCAGGTGGTAGGAGGTGTGACAATTGCCCCCCTTGAGCGGAAGCGGTGTCATCCCAACATGGTTCCGTAGGGTAACGATGACGAAGCACAGTGTAGTCTTCCCAGGTAGATGAATCTGGGGAGTGAGATGACCACTGCACACGAACTTGAATGACTTAAGTGTTGCCCTTCTTGACCATTCGGCGATCCAGTATCACTTCTAGTTGTAGTGGTGCAGCCATGAGGTCTGGTGTTCAAGGAAGCTCGGCGAAGACTGGAGAGTAGTCCGGTGTGAATGGTCTCAGTTGAAATATGTGAAACACAGGATGGATACGACCGTCAGGAGGTGGTGTCAGTTTGTATGCTCAGGTGCCAATGCACTGCTCCACTTTAAAATGGACCGAAGAACTTAAATGCTAACTTTGGGCAAGGGTGATTGGCCACGGTGAACTGAGCATAAGGTTGCAATTTGAGCAGAACTTGTTCTCCCACATTGAAGGAACGCTCGGATCCGTTTCTGTCAGCCTTCTGCTTGCATCTGTTTTGTGCCCGTGTGAGCTGAGCGTGTAAGTTGTCATTGTGCATTGCCCAGTCCAGGTCTGCATCCTTGTTTTCCGGCATATTCAGAAATAAGTGTTCGGTGAGGAGTGGTGGGTGGTGTTGTACCATAATTCATCTATCGGAAGCCACTTGCGCCATTGCTTGGGTGTCTCATGGACTGCACACCGGAGATACATTTCGAGACACTGATTAACCTATTCACTCTGTCCATCCATCCGGGGTGGTAGGTCGTAGAGTAGCGGAATTTGGTTCCCGTTGCATCCAACAGAGCATGCCGGATTGCACTGGTGAAAATCTTGTTGCGGTCTGAGACAATTGAATGAGGCATGCCTTGTAGTTTGATGATGTTATGCCAAAAAGCTCGAGCCATTGTTGTTGTGAATGGGTAACGCAGAGGAACAAAATGAGAGTATTTGGTGAAGTGGTCAACAACTACCAAGATTATCTCGTAGCCCTTAGAAGCTGGCAATCCTTCCACAAAGTCCATGGTTAAATCTCGATAGGGTTCAGTGGGTATTCTAAGAGGTTGAAGGAGGCCGGGTGTCTTCAGGCGCTCGTGCTTAGCATGTTGACAGGCGAAGCATTGCCGGAAAAAAAATCCTCCATGGCTTGTTTCAAGCCGCGCCAAGCAAACAACTTTTTGACCCGCAAGTAGGTAGTTGTCACTCTCGAGTGGCCACCGATCGCACTGGCATGAATCGCACTGATCAATTTTGTCTGTATATCTGCGTTGGCATTGATCCAAATCATGTTGTGCAGACAAATGATACCTTGCCGCAACTCGTACCCTTGGTCGTCCGGACTGTAGAGTGCCAGGTGTTGGAGGAGATCTTGGATGTCTGTGTCAGTCTCATAAGAATTCATCACTTCCTGAAGCCACTCTGAAGCCACTCTGGTTGATAGACAAACAGGGGATCGAGCGAGAGGAGATGACCGACGAGAGGTAGTGCGTCCACCGCGCCGTGCTCAATACCATGTTGATATTTGAGGAAAATTGTAATCCCACCATCTTGGACATGGCTTTGTGCTGCAACTTTGTTTCTAGTTGCTAATCTCCGAGGTAGCACAAGCTCTTGTGGTCCGTGACAATGACGAATGGCGCATGCTACATATATGGCCGCCATTTCTCCACTGCCATCATAACCGCAAGGAATTCTTTCTCGTGAATTGACAGATGTTGATCATGGACACCGAGCGCCTTGCTGAGGTATGCAATTGGGTAACCGTCCTGCACGAGCACCACCCCCATGTCCGTGTCACATGCATCCATCTCGATCGAGAACGGGTGTGAAAAATCGGGTAGGGCCATAACAGGGGTGTTGGCCATGGCGTCCTTGAGGAGCTCGAACGCAGCTTGAGCTTGCGCAGACCAGTTGAACTCCTTTTTGATGAGAAGTTGAGTGAGTGGCTTGACGAGAATTCCATAGCGAGGAACGAACTTGTGGTAATATCCTGTGAGACCGAGAATACCACGAAGTTTTGTTGGATTGGTGGGAGTAGGCCAAGCTTGCATCACACTTGTTTTGCCCGTGCCGGTGCCGATGCCCTCCTTGGAGATCACATGCCCCATGTATTCGATACGTGGCTGGGCGAAGGAACATTTCAAGCGCTTGACGTACAACTGGTGCTGGTGAAGGATTGCAAACACCGTGCGCAAGTGTTTCATGTGCTCCTGCAAAGAATGACTGAACACCAAAATGTCATCCAAAAATGTGATGGCGAACTTACGATTTGGACAGGTGAGGACATAATTCATTAAGCACTGGAACGTTGGTGATGCCGAATGGCATGACGTGGAATTGGAAATGCCCGTGATGGGTCTTGAACGCCATCTTTTCCTCGTCGCTCTCGCGCATACGAACTTGGTGGTAGCCTGCGTGCACATCAATCTTGGAGAAAACTGTCATTATGGCTAACTCGTCCGACAGTTCGTCGATGACCGGGAGAGGAAACTTGTTCTTGATTGTAACGGTGTTCAAGTGACAGACGTTCCATCCTTTTTCTTGACCAGAAGAACGGGAGCAGCCAACGGGCTCATGCTAGTATGTGTAATCACACCCGTGCATAGCATCTCGTTGACTTGTCGTTCCATCGCGTACATCTGGAATGGCGAGTAGCGGTATGACGGCGGTGGCGAAGAAGTCTACGACGAGCGCCGCGGCGCCGTGGTCCGCCACGGCAGCCCTGACGTGGGGCGCGTGCAGCTGCATGTAGCGAGACTTGAACTCCTGCAGATTGCCTGCGCAGTCCGTGGGCGGGACGACGGCGGGGAGGTGGTGGAACCGGATCCTGGGCCCGGGCGCAGAGGCCGCGACGCACCTGACGTGCGAGTCGACCTCGGAGGTGGACTCGGGCGTCGCTGGCCGGGTGATCAGCACGGTGACCGTGAGCTCGTCTCCGCCGTGAGCGAGCAGCCGCTTGCCGGCTTCGATGAGCGACATGAGGTGGCCCGAGCCGGGCTCCGGGAGGAGGAGGACGTTGGCGCTCGCCATAGTAGGAACATTTTTGCTGGACTTGTGAACGTTGTGAGCTGGGGATTGGAAATGGAATCGAAACAAAGATTGTACGTACTACGTGTGAAAGCCGAAGACCGACACAGGGCACACGTTCATCACGAGAGATTGGACCCTTGGACCCTAGCTATAGCTATATGTCCTAGCACATACGCCACTCGCCTTCGATCCACCTCTGGCAGTGGTACCAGAAAGGTTCCTCACGACGGGCTGGTCGGGCCGTCCGGACATCTAC